TTGTCATCGCTGTAACCAAATACCTGACAAACCACTTGAAGGAAAATTTGCTTAAGTAGCTTATAATTTCAGAGAGTCCAGTCCATGGTTACTTGGTCTTGTCATGGCACCTGTCTATGTCTTGGCAGACAGGAATGAGAGGATGGAATCCAGGCACACCCCTAGTGGCCTACTTCCTCCCCAGATAGCATCGCCAGCTGGGGACCAAGCATTCTAGACATAAAGCCTATGGGGATAGATCACTTGCTAGCCTAAACATTAGTTTTGTGCCCTGGAGCAGTGCTTTGTGGGGGGCTAATACTGAGGCAGCCTGGATTGAAATGGCCTTGTGATGTGGTTTTTCTAAGCCCAAGTTCTAAGCCCTCATTGGATCTTCTCTCTCTTTTCTACCTGCAGTACTGGAGAGCTGGCTGGACTACACTGGGGAACTGGAACCCCCAGAGCCTTTGGCCAGGCTTCCACAGCTCAAGCATTGCATCAAGCAGCTGCTGACTGACCTGGGCAAGGTGCAGCAGATTGCCCTCTGCTGCTCGACATGAAATTGGGCACCCAAGACAATTGGAGCACAATCCTGGCCATCTGCCAGGGGAGCTTCGCATATTTAAGTAAATAAACTTAGCATGCTGAATGCACGTGACACTGACTGACTTCAGGGATTTGGCCAGGAGTGTGATGGACACTGGGACAGAGACCATTTTGAGTGCTGGAGGACAGGGCACTCTTGATCTGGAAGCCGACCACGAAGGCAGTGCAGTCTTAGCACCCCTTTCTGTGCACATTGTTGAACGAAGCAAGTCTTTGCACATCTTCCTTGGAATCGTGCCACTGATGATAAATGGAGAGCCAAAAAAAAAAAAAATCTAGTTGGAAACAGTTGTAAATTCAATTCACGGTTTATTTGACTTTTGTGTCAGGTTGAGGCATGTGCCAACCCCTCTGGTTTCTCTGCCTGGCACGGTGTATGGGCAGCAGGCAGGCACCGTTTTCATCTTTCAGCTTCACTGGAATGTTGGGACCTCACTGTGCTGCGCAGTTTGGAAAGGAGGAGCAGGGGCCTTGACAGCACTGCTTCTTAAGACTTCATTTTCTTGCCATGGCTCTTGCAGGATTTCACGGTACAGGGGACAAGGTTTTATGTTTATTACTCCAGAGTCGGCTGGACCATGGCTATGGCAGCAAAGCCAAAACGTCTGAAGGAAGAGGTAGAATCTTGTTGCAATGAGAATTGACAAGGATCTTCAGAAGGAAGCAGGCAGGGTCTGGAACCCAAAGGACAGCATTTTCTATACACTTATTAATTTCAACATCTTCCCACTTTTATTTAAAGTTAAAAAAAATGTTTCCCAAGATTTTGAACTTTTACTGTAAAGATTTGTTACAAAGAATGTGGGAATTACCTTATTTTCTATTGCCATCAGCAGTTGAGAATCTGTGTGCCACTTTCCTCCTGGAGGCCAGCATGGCTGCCAGCATCTGCAGGGTTGCTGATGCACTCAACACTTTCAGTGTCCTGGTTGTATTACTTGTGAAATCAAGGTGATTATGCTGCTTAAGGTCCAGGTACAACTGTTTGTACCTTCGGAAAGAATATTTGTGTTATTTTGCAGGTCTGGTTCCATGTGTAATTGCTGTATTGTTTTGTTTTACCTTACTAGACAATGTTTAAAAGGTTCCATGCTTTGAGGACTTCATTTTACCAGTTTTTGCATCACTAAAGGCAAATATCAAAGTACATTTATCCATCAACACCCACAGGTTCATCATGAGTTTTGGAATCTGTAACGTTTTAGGTTGCAAATATTTACTATATAAACATCAAGGAGCCAATGTCAGTAGCTAGTAACAGCAGCATCTCCCTGCCTTGGGAATGAGTAAGCTTCAGGCACAACAGGTCATTGAGGCCTGCTAATTCAGGCCTGTGTACAGAGAAGTTTCAGGAAGTGAGTGCCCTGTCTAATGACTTGTTCACCGTCTGCTCTAAAATGAGCTTCAGGGCAAGCATGAGTTGACCTGGCACAGCTTAAGGAGTGTGCGACACATAAGGAGTGTGTAACATAGTCCCTTACAAAAGGCTGCTTCCCGCTGCTAGCACTGATGTTGGGGGAAGAAATGCTCCATATGACATTGATGTTCTGGGTGATTTATTAGATGGCTGCATCTTGAGAACTGGATGGTGATTGTCTGAAAGGGGAAGAGCCAAGATAATTATCTGTTGCTACAACTGTATGAGGTATGATGATTGTTATATTAGGTACTGATTTGGAGGCCAGAAAGATGGCTCAGTGAGCAAAGGTGTTTACTACCAAGCCTGCTGACCTGAGTTTGATCCCCAGGACCCATACAGTAGAGAGAATTGATACCTTGAAGTTGCCCTCTGACACACATCCACACGCTAAACAAATGTAATAAAGGTTTTTTAATTGAGGTGTTTTCTTCTCTGTACTGCCCTAGAAAATTCCATCGGGGACTAACTCTGAAGGCAGCCCATTGTGTCTTGTTCAAACATGGAAGCAGAAGCTGGTGGTCCTGATTCTGCGATGTGGTCATTGCTGTGTTTATCATTTAGGTTTGAAGGAAATGATCTGGTTTCATTGTGACTTTTGTTCTTAGGGAAGCAAAGCAGACTCCCCGTGTTCTAATAACCGCAGTTCTTCCCTAAATTAAAGCCATGTTGAAGGGCTCCACTCCCAGTTCTTGGGTCACAGTGAACTAACCCTAAGTTGGAGCACTAGAATCTGTTACTTGCAAACAGTGTAGGAAGATGTGCATGAAGTTCTGTCTGTTTAGAAAGCTGTCCACCTATACAAAGTTGCCTTGACACAACAGTTCTGGTTTGATAGTCATTTAAGTATGTATGCAAGGTGGATCGTGGCTGAGCCAACATTGCACTGTGGATACGTACTGTGTTTACACGCTATTAGACAGAAGGCACTGTACATAGGAGTGTTGCTCTCAAGCAATATTTACAAAACATGCAAACTTCTGTATCTAGAAAAAAATAAAACAGTTCTTGTTGCTATGTGTCAGTCACATATTACTGGAGTATAAAAGGTTGTGATTTTGTTTAGTTTGGAGGCAAGGTCTCACGATGTAGCTGACTGTTCCAGAACTCCCAGAAATCCCTTGCTTCTCCCTCAAGTGCTAGGATTAAAGTCCTATGGCACATGCCTGGTTGTTTTTTAGACAGTCTTGCTTTGTAGTCCAGGCTGGCCTTGAGCATGTCATCTAACAAGCCTCAAACTTGAAGTCATCTTGCCTTAGTCTCCTGAGTGCACCACCATAACCCAGCAAGAATCAAATGTTTCATCCTACTTTTAAGATATATAATCAATGTTTTATAGCATGCCTGCTCTTCTATGATAATCTTGTACAGGGAGACAGACACAAACTCTATCAAGAAATTCCAGGAAAGCCGGGCGATGGCGGCGCACGCCTTTAATCCCAGCACTCGGGAGGCAGAGGCAGGCGGATCTCTGTGAGTTTGAGACCAGCCTGGTCTACAGAGATAATTCCAGGACAGGCTCCAAAGCCACAGAGAAACCCTGTCTCGAACCCCCCCCCCAAAAAAAAAAGAAAAAAAAAGAAATTCCAGGAAAGCATAAGCAGATGCTTTCAAATCATCCAAAGCTAGATGCTCATACCAGCTTCTACCCAAGTCTGGCTCATGCATTGTGGTGGAAGCTGCAGATTTACTAGTTTTGGTTGCTGGAAGCAATGCAAGGGCCTTGCCTTCTCTACACTGAGATTCACCCACCACTCTTGAATAAACCCAAGCTTTCTATAGACCCAAACTACCCCCTCCCCCAACAAGCCTCAAGGAAACCCAGATGTTTCATTCTTTGAAAATTCCTTCTCTTGGTAGAGTTGAGGATTAGAGAAAATTGTTAAAAACAGGAGCCCCCTGAATACATTAAAATGAGGACTTCCAGTAATTTTAACACATTCCAAGGTCATTCCATGGAAAACCATTGTGCAAATGGAGCATTAGGGGTTGAAAATGGTTTCTGTTTATTCATTGTAAAGACAAAGTGCTTCACTCCAGGGAGCTGACGGGAGAGCTCTTTCCCTCTTCATAGTATACGCTCTGGTCAAGGTCACCAGTAGGCTTTTAACAAAGGTCATGAACCCTCTATTAGTTTTAGTCAAAGCATTTCTCTAATGATAATCACTGGCGCATGCAAAGCCAGTAGACCCTGACCAAAAGGAGACAGGGGCCAAACCTTTTCATCCACGTTAGTTACTGGACAGCTGTATACTGTGGTGTGTGTGTGTATATATACATATATACACATATACATACATATATATGTAACAGTAAGTGTTAAAGAGGTTTGTTCACTGTGTGGATTGCAATCACTGATCTTTAAGCCACCAAGCAGAAAGCTTTAAGATTCATTTACAAGGAAGTGACACTATAAGACCCATTTCATTTTTCTTGGTAACACCAGTTGTTGCCTGATCAGTTTTTTGTTTTATATTTTTAGAGGGTCTCTCTACATAGCCCTGGTTGGAACTCACTATGTAGACCAGGCTGGGCCCAGCCCCAGTCCCTTTTTCAACCACCTCCTCCCAGTGCTGAGATTAAAAGCAAGAACCACAACACTAAAAAAAAAAAAAAAAAAAAAAAAAACAAAACACAACACTGAGCTGAGCTTTTAATAGGGCCACCCATTTTATTGCTCAAGCTCGGATACTAGCTAGTGCAAGGCAGGGTAGTATGGAACACTAGCCGACTACAACCATCATTAGCATTCTGCAAGACAACTCAGGTTCAGAAAAACTGCGAACGTGGTAGAGGGGTGGCCTAGAGCCACTCAACAGGGTGAGAAGAATTTCCTGCCTAAGGGCAAAGTCCTGCGCATCTCCACCCCAGAGGTCCAGGAATAGTACGTAAAGCTTTACTCTTAGAGGCTCCCGACATCCTCTTATCAACTGGAAAGGTGGGGAACACGCTCGGGAAATAAGCCCAATAGAGGACGAACGACACACCAGATCACAGGAACTGTCAAAATTCAACTTTCATTAACTCGTGGTAGGGTATCACAGTCCAAGGAGCCCCCGGTTCCTGCTCAGCCGGTGATGCGCACGTCTGCGCGGCGCCGCAGCCGCCGGACCGGGGCCGCCTCGGGCAGGATGGCCTGCAGCTGCTCCTGCACCAGCATCTCCACGATCTGCTCCTTGGTGCGGATGTCGGGCCGCAGCCACTGGCGGGACAGCTCCCGCAGCTGCCGGAAAGCTTCCCGGGGACCCGCCGCGTCCTGGTAGCGGAACTGCCGGAAACGCTGGCGAAACGTCTCTGGGCCCGGCCGAGAGGCGCCGGGCCGCGGGGTGGCTTCAGCCTGCAGAGCCGCGTCCGAAGCTGCGGGCCTGCCGGGGAGTTCCGGGGCCGCGGAGCTCACGGAGTCGGGCGCGGGGTCCGCACAGTCGACGGCTCCTTCCTGCTGTTCAGGCAGCGCCGCGGGGCTCGGAGCGGCCAGGCCGGGCTCCGGCGCCGCCATGACTACAGCTCTCGGCGTCACCCTCTTTGTCCCGTAGCTATAGGATGTCTCTGCGTCTGCGCGAAGACCGGGAAGAGAGGGATGGGCTGAAGGGCAGAGGCAGCGCTGCCCTAGGGGGACGCGGGCTCGAGCGAGGGCGAGCTGAGCTTACCTCCACCTGCGAAGTTCCGTAGCGGCCGGAAATGGGCGACACCGCGGGCTTCCCTAGGAGCGGAAGGCACACGGTCCCGGAAGCCCCGCCCACTCGCAGTCACGTGAAGCATGACCTGGCCAAGGCCTTTTGGAACGCAGAAGTCAGCTCTTCCGAGAGTTCGGACAGCATCTCCGAGAATCGTCTGTTCCCGGAGGAGCCGCAGAATAGGGAGGCAGGGAGGGCGGAGACGGAGACTGACCAGGAGTCGGAATCGCAGTCGAAATCCATGTCGGAAGAGGATACTATATTGAAGAGGGAAGAGGTACAAGAAAAGGCGACCCTGCGGACGGGCCACCTCGACTTGCAGGTGATCTGCGCCTGCTAGGGCGGATGCTGGACCAGGATCGGGGCGGAGCGTCGACAGTCCTGGGTCAATGAGGGGGCTGGCCAGGGCCTTGACGGAGCTTGACGGCTCATCCGGGTGGGGCAGCGGGATAGGGGCTCCTACTATTTTAAGAAATACCGCTCAGCCAGGCGTGGTACCAGCACTCAGGAGGCAGAGGCAGGCGGATGTCTGTAAGTTCGAGGCCAGCCTGCTCTACACAAGAGCATTCCAGGACAGCCAGAGAAACAGAGAAACCCTGCCTCGGAAAAAAAAAGGAAAAAGAAAAAAAGGGGGAGGGGGAAGGAAGGAAGAAAAGAAGGAATGGAAAGGATAGCGAGAAAGAGCAGGCAGACTCAATCCTGTAACCTTAGATTTAGAGGTCACGCCTGGGCCGCAGAAGTGCACACACACACACCCTCCCTCCTGCATGAGTGCAATAGAACTCACCTTATTTTGAGGATGACAAAATACTTGGGTAAGATTCTTAATATTGTTTCCTGGCACAAAGCAAATGCACGAGGGTTCTTTGTCATTATTTTTGCTTGTCCTCGAAAACCAAGAGACAGGTGGTTCTGTGGGTACTGCTTTTTAATTTTAGGATTAATGAGTGAACTGTAATTACGGTGTCCATTAGCCACATGTATTTATGGAACCTTTAAAATGTAAATACCCCGAATTGAAATGTATTATAATGTAGAATACTCGTGCCTCTGTGAAGGTAAAGAAAAAGGTTTTATATTTATTACACGTTGGAACATGTTGTATTATTTTGTGTATTTTGGGTCAAATAAACTATATTATTTTAATTTTACCTGTGTCTTTTTTGAAATACAGGTGCTATAAAATTTGTAATTACACATACAGTTTGTGGTATATTTTTGTTGGACAGCTGCGGTCTGGAGTGTTGGGAGTCAGGCTGTCTGGTGGCATCCTCTTGACAGGGTTTCTTTGTTTTAGCACCCCTAGCAGTAAATAATACCTACTGCCCAGTTGTTGAGAGGAGTAAATAAAGCTCTGGGGAAGACTGGGCTTTAAAAAGTACCTTCAGAGCAAGGGAGGTGACTCAGTTGGTAAGGGTGCTTGCTGCAAAAGCATGAGGTTCTGGATTCTCCTGCACCCATGTGAGAAAACAAGGTGTGACTGAGCTCACCTATCACCCTAGTGTTGAGGGCCAGAGGCAGGTGGATCTTAAGAACTGGTTCCCCAGCCTAGGCAAAACCTATGTGCTTCTAAACTCAGTCTGCGGCCCTATCTCAAGGCAGTAAGGAGAACAACAGTAAGACACCCTCCTCTGGCCTTCTCACACACCTGTACACTCACATGCACATGTCACACACACAGAGAGACACATTTTCATTAGGCACACTGCCCACAGCCTCTCAGCTACAGTTTTCTTATCTAAAATCCAAGCTCTAGATGTAAGAGAGCTGACCTCATGGAAGCTTGTGAAAGTTCGGAGATGATACCAGCAAAAGTGTAATGTCTGGCAACTTCTGGCGTATTCTATTTGACAGCTTACTCACAAATAAGGTTTGTATTTCCATCTTCCAGAAAAGGAACTGAACCCCAGAATGGGACAGAGGTTCCATATGATATGTTTCCTGGAGCTAGAGAAATGGCTGGTTAAGGGTGGATGCTGTGGCTGGGCAGTGGTGGCGCCTTTCATCCCAGCACTCGGGAAGCAGAGGCAAGCAGATCTCTGAGTTCAATGCCAGCCTGACCTACAGAGTGAGTTCCAGGACAGTCAAGAGTTACAGAGGGAAAGAAACAGGTATAACAGCGTTCTCCTTTAATTCCAGAAGTTGACAGGGGCAGGCAGATCTCTGTGAGTTTGAGACTAGTGTGGTCTACATAGTGAGTTCTAGGCAAAACCCTGTCCCCATCCCAGCTCCAAGCTTCCAGTTTTCAGCACCCGGGTAGGTAGGGTAGCTCACACCTCCTGTAACTTCAGGTCTAGAGGATTTAATGTCTGGCCTCTGCCAGCACCTGCACTCAATGTTTTGCACAGATAAACTCTCTCTCTCTCTCTCTCTCTCTCACACACACACACTTGAAAAAAGTCGGAGGTGGAGCTAGAAGAAGTTACTGGCAGGAATCAATGACTATTATCAAAAACATTGTATGCATGTATGAAATTATCAAAGAATAAAAATATATTAAAAATACAACAAAATCCTTTTCTATGGTTCCCTAAGAGCTTTTCTAGAAGGTGTTGTCTGTACAAAGTCCTACGCTAAATAAAGCCAAAACTTAAATTGCAGGCTAGATGGGGAAGTGGGTAGGATCTGGAGAGAGGCTGAGAAGTGAAGTGGGAGAGTTGGCGAGGGTAAGGCACAGAGCACAGGGTTCTGGGTTAGAATTAACCCTTTTCCTCTTGGGAAGGGATGTCTGGGAATCAGGATCTCAATCTCTGTCTCGTTTCCATCCACAGTGGAATTATGGGCTGTTAGAGATGGAAGTGAGGACCTTTGAGGTTTATATGAATCATGGAATATTAGAAAGGAGAGGGAATTTGGGATTGAATTGAAAAATATTAAATTCATTTCTAAAGCCTTTATGATTTAGCCGGCATAGGGTCTAGAAAAATTCTCTTCCTAGGAAATGCACATATTCTTATTTCAGGTATTTTATATGTATCTTTGAATAGTCAGAGGCTCAGATTAATTACATATATATATATACACACACACACATATATTCTATTTTGCAGATTGGGACGTCAGTACCCCAAAAGGTAGAAAGTTGGAAGACTGTCAGACAACTCGTAAGTGCTGCCATGAAGGGATTTTTAGAATGCTATGCCAAGGTTGTTATCACATTAGCCCTTTTTATTTATAATTTCCATTTCCCTAGGAAGGGATCTTAAATCATTAATTTCCTAGCTTCCAAAACAAGCCTTGGAGCTCAGTACGCCCACCATAAATATTGATTGGTGAAATAATAAATAATCATTGATTCCATTCCTTTCCTGTGAAGGGAAAACTTGACTATAATCCTCTGGCTTTGCCAGAGCTTTCCAGGTGTTTGAATTCGTGTCCAGTTAGTATTACCCATAAACTCACAACAGCCTACCATTGTGTGAAAAAGAAGCCTTAGTTGAATGTCCTGTCAGCTTGGTGTATGGGCATGTCTGTGAGGGACTATTCGGATTGTTTAAATCCATGGCACAGAACACCATGGGTGGGGCCATTCCCTGGACAGGTGGTTCTGGGCTGTGTGAGAACGTTCCCTAAGGGGTTGGAGAGATGACTCAGCAGTCACACACAGGTACTACTCTTCCTTGAGGACCTAAGTTCAAGTCCCAGCACCTACATCAGGTGCCCTCCCCCAGCCACCTCTAATTCCAGCTCTAGGGTACCCAGTATCTCTGACCTCTGTGGACACCTGCACTCACATGTCCATACACACATAGATACACACACATGCAGATAGGAACTTGAAAACTCAGCTAAGCGTGAAGCAGAGACTGAACCAGCAGACGGCAGTCCTCCATGCTTCCTGCCCTGACTTCCCTCAGTAATGGACTGTGACCTGGAAGTGTAAGCCAAATTAACCTTTTCCTCCCCAAGGTGCTTTTGGTCACAGTGGGGTTGTTTTGTTTTTTAATTAATTTTAATCTCTCCTCCACTTTTTTTTGTTGTTGTTGTTTTTTAGTTTTTTGAGACAGGATTTCTCTCTGTGTAACCCTGGCTGTCCTGGAACTCGCTCTAGACTGGGCTGGCCTCAAACTCAGACTCACAGAGATCTGCCTGCCTCAGTCTCTCAAGTGCCGGGATTAAAGGTGTGCACCACCACTGTCCGCCTAACAGAATGAAATGAGAGCAGAGAGTGTTCTCTTCTTAGGGGCTGTGGAAAGGAAGCCTGGAACTTTTTTTTTTCTTTTTACTCGCTGGGTGTGGTGACACACCTTTAATCCTGTCACTCACTGGATCTGGTAGCATCCTTACCACTCTGGAGGCTGAGGGACCAGGTATTGAGACCAACCTGGGCTACATAGTGAGACCACTTCTATGGAAATAAGTATAGATTCATAGGTAGTTGCAAATATAGTAGAGAAATTGTGTGCTGGGTGGTGGTGCACACACTTGCTAAGGCAGAGACTGTGGGATCCCTGTGAGCTCAAGGCCAGCCTGTTTTACAGAGTGAGTTCCTGGACAGCCAAGGCTACATAAAGAAACTGTCTCAAAAAGGAAAAGCAAAAGGAAAACAGAATAGTAGACAAATTGTATTCTTTTTTTTTTTTTTTTTTTTTTTTTTTTGGTTTTTTCGAGACAGGGTTTCTCTGTAGTTTTGGAGCCTGTCCTGGAACTCCCTATGTAGACCAGGCTGGCCTCGAACTCACAGAGATCCACCTGCCTCTGCCTCCCGAGTGCTGGGATTAAAGGCGTGCGCCACCACCGCCCGGCGACAAATTGTATTCTTAATACAATTCCTCAGTAGTAGCCTTGTTGGTTATGGTGTGAATCTGGAAGCTCCCCACAGGGTCACACGCTAAAAAGCTTGTTCCTCACGTGGCCGCGCTGTGAAGGCGGGTCTAGCTGATAGAAGTACGGGATTAGGAAGACCAGAGCTTGCTCTGGGTTCCTGCCCCGCCCTTCCCGCTGCTCCTGGGCTACAGGCACTAAGCCTCATCTCCATTCTTACTGCCCTGAAGCCTCATCTCCGTTCTCACTGCCCGGCTCTGACCCCATTATGTTAGATTGAAACTGTTGCAATCATGTGATCATCTTTGAGTGCTAAAGTTCTTCCATATTTAGAGTGCAAATATCTATTTGCTACTTGGTTTGTGAGTTTGGACAATCAGGGATACCATACCGCCTTAAGCCCAAAGAGAATGAAATGGAATTAAACATTTGATTGATTATCACCACTTTTTCTCTCAGAAGTATCTTCATTGCTTTTGCACCACTGTGACCAAATAGCAAGGACAGCTGGAAGGGAAGGATTTC